CGTGGTCGCCTGTGCCAATTCATGGCACACAACCTTCATTCCTTCAACAGACTGCAGCCAACAACATTTATCGTTATAAACACCCAATAAAGCATTTCTTTTCATTTCTCTGAAAATCTCAAAGTTCAAGAATTGTTGTATTCAAAGCAAACCTGCTCAGGAGAACCACGTGTTATTATATCAAGAGCTTCATTCCAGTCAGCAGGACCAACGGGACCAGAATATGGTCTTGGCATTGGATGTCTCTCCATCTGATCTTCAGAATGACCATAATTCTCCCTAGAAGTAAAAAAATTAGCAATTAAAATGCACAAATTAGATTAATAATTTGCTTCAACCAGAGTCCTCCATGCAACGTGTGATAAACAGGCTTGAGGAATAGATTCTCCGGTACCTATTGAAGATTGGGCCAGATATAGATTTTGAAACTTCCCCACTTTGCTCGGCAGGATCAAACCTGCATTCATGAAACCAATATCATGGGAGTTCAAAAGGAAAAATTATTACAAGTCAACGGACCGATTAAGAGAGACACTGTTCATCCATTCTTCTGCTAGTTCTTTTTTCTTTTCTTTTTTCCAAATGATAAAATCTATAGTATGATAGACACTGTTCATCCATTCTTCTGCTAGTTCTTTTTTTTTTTTTTTCCAAATGATAAAATCTATAGTATGATAGACCATAAAAGGCAAATTAATGCTTCAGCCACAAAATATGAAGGATGCACATCAGGATAATAGAAGAAAAAAGGTCAAATTTCATTATAAGTTAATGAAATCCTATGAAATGTTTGGTTAAAAAATTAAAGTTTACTTTGACTTTTAAATTATAATGTGCTTCTATTGAAATCCAAACAAGCACTGCTGCAAAGGGAGAAATAGTCAACAAAAAATAAATCAACAGCAGGGCACTGCACATCACTAGACTGGTCACAAATGATATATATGACGAAAGAGAACACGAAAACACATGCAACACTTCTGTACGGGTCATCTTGATTGCAATAAACCGTCTCCAGGTTGTTAATATAATGGCACAGGCAGCACGAAAGAAAACATTGCATCTTTTACAAGAGTCCACAAAACAATGAATAGGTCCATCAGGAATACCAACATATAGCAAGACGCCCTTATTCTTTAACATACCCATTATCTCTCACTGACCGCCTTAAAGCGGCCCTAGCTTCACCAGGTTTGCCTTCCTTTCTTTTCTCCATCTCGCGCGCCTAACAAACAAGATATGCATCCATGATTTGGAGAAAGAAGAAAGAAGGCCACCAGCAGAAATAGAAAGCACCTGAACGCACTAACCTTCCACTTAAATCTGTCATCTAACATACTTCTTTGCGCCTCTGTAAGCTTCCCAACATATCTCCAAATGTCATCACCTAACCCATAATTAGATTAAAAAATTAAATTAACATGCATCAGAATGAGTAGTGCCGTGTTAATGCTCAAAAGTTGATAACCAGTTTCTGATGACACGCAATATAATATTTAATACAGAGACTTTTTTTCCACATCCATCCCATATAAATGAATATTCAAATATCCATACCACAAAAAAAAAAAAAAAATCCGAAAATGCATCACTTATCCATAGTAGTCAAGATAAAACTAACCAAGAATCTTATATCCGATAGCTAGAGTATTTAAAGCAGCTTTCCTAGTTTCACCATCTCGCTCCGCCGTTA